CTGAAGATGACTGGATATTGGCCTTGTCCTTTTTTTTTTTTGCATGATTGGGGACCTTGATCAGTCTTTACAAACTAAAAAGTAACTTGGAATATATTCTGTCATCTTGATCTCATGCTTGGTTAACTCAATCATATAATTTATGGTTACCATTAGTGATGTTGTGAATGTCCATGGGAAACAGCAAGAAAAGCCTTAGTTTTTAAGTGAAGGTTGTCGTATGAGTAACATGTCATGCCCAGCACACCTGCCCAATTTCCAAGAGTTGTAAAATTATTGGACAGCTGTATATTTCACCCATGTGATCATTGGGTTATAGCCCTGATAGCATCCAGTTTAGCCGTAGCCCTAAATTTTATTTACTTCACAGTGGTTAGATCTCGATAATTGTAAGGGTTAACCCTTACAGACACACATATCCAACGTTGACTCTTACCAGTAGTACCATCTCATCATTTTGCCAGTTTGTGTTTTAAACACGCCTGTTGCATTGTGCAGTAAAGCCGTATTTATCACATGGTTCAGCAAGGCTTGATGATGTTGTGCAGAGTACACTCCAGCTAAGCATTCCAATAATAAGCCCCTAAAGCCACATTCCCGTCATTATGTCAGTTTGTTCTTTTGTGTGAGTCTGTTTTGCACTACAGCCCATGCCAAATAGTTGTAATAAGACAGTTAGTTGCATAGTGAACCCTCATTAATGTGACCACTTCCCAGAAAAGGACTCTCATGTTAAGAGGCAGNGTTGTAATAAGAGAGTTAGTTGCATAGTGAACCCTCATTAATGTGACCACTTCCCAGAAAAGGACTCTCATGTTAAGAGGCAGGGGGCTTGTTGTTTTACTTAGGGGTGTATGTATTTATTAGAGGGTTTGGCAGGCTATCAAGGTATCTTAAAGGGTTGTATTTGAAAAAAATGCTGTTTTAGATGGTGTGAGATCTTTCACATTTTTTCTTGTTGATGAAACTACAACGATGACAAATTTATGTTGTTTAGTCGCATAAGTCCATACTATTTGAATAGGTCTGTTTTGCAATAGTTCCTTTAAGGGGTCAAATAAAGCTTGGACAATGCCAAAATTGGTCTCATTTAGGGTCTCAATGTAAATTTTGTGGAGATCAACCCTGACCCCAAGTGGAAGCTGTCCTCAGCCCCAGTAACTCCTGTTTTGTAGTTTAGTGAATGTAAGTGATGTATTTAAGCAGTGGCAGACCTAGTGGAGGGGCCTGGGGGGCCTGGCCCCTCTTGTTTT